AAAAACAGGTCTGAGATTTCAGACTAATCAGAGTAAATAGTCTGATAAAGTCAGCCCTGACGGGTACGCGAGTCAACAGAGGTTACACGAGGGGGTGGACAAAGAACACGAAAGGACTCGAAAGGGTCGCAACCGGAGGTTGCGACTGACTGTTACAACTGCAAGGATGGTAACCGAAGCGACAATCGAGTCGCTGTGCGACTCGACAACCGCTCTCTCAACTGTATTCTACAACTGCTTTACTTTCCTACGTTCTATATATTGCTGTATGCTTGTTCTCTTAATCAATCACTTGCTCTCACATACCAGTGCAAGGGTTCAACTACTCAACTTCCGCTGCACTACTCAAGTATCTTGTACAACTGGGACTTACTCTCTGAAAGATCCTAAGGGCTTTTTCTCAGCCCAACATGGTATGAGAGCTGGTCAGAGACCAAACTCCCAGCAACTACGCTCTATCTACAATCAGCACACCAACGACTTCATTGATTACAAGTCATGGACAACAAGGGCAAGAAAACCTCTACGGGCTCACCCAGTGCCCAAGACACTCAACCCGGTAACTCTGGACTGCAAACCGAGAGTGGCGGTGCTCAAGAAACAACAGGAAGAGCACCAGAGATGGTGACCCCGTCAGTCTCTTCAAGCGTGGACCCGAACCTTATGGAAAGGTTCTTCAGCTTCATGTCACACTTCGACCAGCAGCAGCAGACAAGGACACCTGCGCATTCAACACAGAGCAACGGAGGAAACATGGGATTAGCGCCGATGAGCTTCGACAACTCATCGTTCGGGCGACACAATCAAGCGCCTACCTTTGCGCCTTATCACTCCTCACCGGGGACGTTCGAGTTCATGCCGCCCCGTGCCCAACCAACAGCAGCTGCATCACAACAGACACCAAGCGAGATATTGAGTCTCCAAGCGCAATTTTCACACATGATCAAACTGCAGACATCCTCACCGTTCAACGGACACGACTTCTTTACCTGGAGTTTTGAGTTCGAGCTGCTGATGGAGGCCGTGCACCTCTTGGGATACTTCAACGGGTCCCTGCCATTTCCAAGCAATGGCACTGCAAAAGAGCAAGAAATTTTTACGTATCAGTCGCTGCTGACGTACACAGTTCTCCTGCGGAACAGCAAAGCATCAGAACGTATCGAAGCTATGGAAACTCCGCGGAACTCGCATGGCATCATCTCAAGTGTTACTATCAAGCAAACGACAGCGTGACACAAAGCAGACTCATGCAGCAGCTGACAACAACACAGATGAAGACCGGGGAAAAGGCGATGCAGTATATGAGTCGCTGCCAGACACTCCGTGACCGCCTGCTTCGGTGCGGAGGTACAATCACTGAAGAAAGCTTCGTGACACTTGTCCTCGCTGGGCTCGGGCCATAAGGGAGAACCACCCGCTCGCTTCTTCGCGCCCACGGACGAATCTCGGAGATGCACCTCTGCACTGAGCTTCATGCTGAACAACAGGAAATGGACCTGTTTGAAGAAAGACAACCAAGGAAACAGCAACCGTTAGTCTTCTACACTCAACGAAGAAACGACAACAACTACAACCGACGCGGCAAGCAAGACCAACGCGACAACAGAGGACTCACCATCGTGCCGCCGTTCTGCCACAACTGTCAAACCTCCGGACACTCCAAAGTCAACTGCACACGCCCCCGAGCTTATCGTCCAGTAGACCCACAAGTCGCTTCCACTCAAGAAAGCCCGCCGAGGCGTTCCTCCACATCTGCACAAAGCACACCGAACATCATCAATTGCATGGTACACATCGACAACCGCGCACCCGCACAGGTTCTAATCGTCGACAACTTGGGATACAACTTACTCAGCGTCAGCCAGTTAATGGCATAAGGGATTCACCTGGAATGCGACTCGGACTCCAACAAATTTCGCCTTTACCACGGGAAGGGCGGCCTTTTCATCGGTCGCGCTCTCCTGAAGTCGGGCGTCTTCGTGTTGGATTTCGTCCCCGACCGCGGTACTGCCGACAGCGATGGCATCGTGTCGTTCGCCGCATGGACGCACCCGCCGGATCTTGACACTGACTTTACCCCAGATGGTTTTTGGTACTTCAACACAATACCTGCAGCAGAAAGGACCCAAGCGTTAGCAGTCATACGACAAGAAAGACACGTACCAACAAGTGTCTCACCCGCAACATCACCTGCAGTACCAGAAGCAGGACCTAGTCGTGTGCCATCACCAGCAGTTCGAGGGCCACCAATCGAAGCAGACCAACTCATGCCAAACGCTAGAGGAGTTTGCCGCAGTCCCGCAACAGTCGTCGCGTTCTTCTCCAACACCAGCTTGTATCAGTGCTCCCCCGGCCATCGCGCTCCCGACGATATCTGGCACCAACGCCTCGGTCACCCTGCAAACAATACAGTTCTACAAACAATCCAAGCTGGAGTATTAGAAAAGGACGCTCTCCTCACAACGAGCGGACAAGAGCTTCGACGACCTCGCGCCAGATGCTTCACGTGTCCTGAAGCCGATCTTCCACACCAACCCTTTCCGTCGCATCACAATCCAAGTGCACCTGCATACGCACCGATGGAAAAGGTTTACAGCGACATCTTAAATATGCCACGAGACGACAGTGAAGCAGACTTCAACTATGTCACCACGTTCATCGACGCAGCAACAAGATACGTCTGGCACTACAACCTCAAGACACGCGATCAAGCATTCGAAGCCTTCACGACGTGGCTCCCCATCGCTGAACGAGAATCAGGAACTCAACTCAAGAGCTTCCAGTCGGACGGCGCACTGGAATACCAGTCACAATGATTCAGGAATTACTTGGCGGAAAGAGGAATCAAACGCCTGGTGTCTCTGCCCTACGCTCACCAGCAGCAAGGGGTCGCAGAAAGAATGAACCGGACCTTGCAGACGACGATGCGGAAGCTGCTCCTGGGGATGAGACTGCCCAACAGGCTTTGGCCTGACGCGATGACCCATGCAGTTCACCTGCACAATTTGTTGTCCTCGTCATCACTTCCCAAAAACGCATCATCGCACTTGCTGTGGACGGGAAAACAGGGCAGCACAAAATTACTTCGAGTCTTCAGCTGCATGGTACAGTACATACCCCACACAGCACGGGCAGAACGATTCTCTCAACGAGCACGATGGGGACTACACCTCGGCATGGCAAAACATTTCCAAGCATGGAAACTTCTCGACATACAAGACAAAAACACCGTGGCCTTACGTGATGTGATTTTCTACGAACGACTGACGCTGCAGCATTACCTAGACAACATTGCAAACACAGAAGACCCCGCGAACGGCTTCGAGGGCCTTCGGTCCTTCGCCAACCGTGCTGCCGAGGCTGACGCAGCAGAAGAAGACGTACCTGGAGCTTCGGAAGCTGCCGGACCACTCCCTTACTGCTCCGTGCCTGTTCCACTCGACGACAACAATCCTCTCGATAGTAATAACCGCGACACCCATTACCACTTCGCTGACCAAGGTTACGTTACACCTCAACCTGTTGACACGAATGTCTCAGAACGCATCGGCCCAAACCTTTTACCTGATCCAGAAGATGGTGACAAAGCAGCCTATTACGGGAATGAAAATTCCCCTCGACCCACACCCACGGGCCTGCAGATACTCGGACTATGGGTCTCCGTCCAGCACCCGCCGCCGCCGTCTCCGCGCGAGCCACCGACTCTGTCGCAGGCTCTGAGGGGGGAACATAAGGCAAAATGGAAGGAGGCAATGGAAAAGGAACTGAAAGCTCTGCAAGACAGAAATACATGGAAGCTGGTACCTGCAACAAACATCAACGGAAAGAACATACTCTCGGGAAAGTGGGTGTACCGCATCAAGACTAATGCGGACGGCTCCATCGAACGATTCAAGGCTCGCTCGGTCGTACGAACCCTTGGAAGATGTGTCCATGCCGGCCTTTTGCAAACGCCGAACGGAAATCAGGTTGGCTGCTAGCTTGGGCACCAAAAGCACGTTCTTGAGGCCCACCATCTTCCCATCAGCACCCTTGAACATGGCCTTGCCCATGCCTTTCACCTCTGCTCGCTGCCCCAAAGCCGATGTAACATGCTTGACCGGCGACGGTTCGAGTTCGGTGAGCAAGTCCGCACGAGGTGTCATGCTGTAGGTGGCGCCGCTATCGATCACCCAAAAGTCCAGAGAGTGAAGGGTGACCTTTCCCACAGTTGCTGGCTCCTCAAAGCCTTCCACACCTCCTGCTGCAGCTGCCGCTTGCGTGGAGACAAAGAAGAATTGGCCCGGGTATCGATCTTCACTCGAGTCCTTGTCGTAGTCTCCACCTTTCATGCTTGCCGCTTCGCCTCCACGGCCACCACGGCCTCCACGACCTCTGCCTCTTCCTCCCCTTGCTCCTCTTCCCTCTTGGCCTTGAGAAGGGGTCCATCCATCAGGCAATCTGAAGCAATCTCTCCACATGTGGCCGGTCTTGTGACAAAAGTGGCATTCGCCATCAAATCGACCGCGCCCACGCCCGTAGCCATTGTTGTTGTTGCTGCCATATCCTCCATTACCACGGCCTCCACTGAAGTTACCGCTGCCAAATCTTCCTCCTCGCCCTCTGCCCCTTCCACGGCCGTGCCCACGGCCCATGCTTGCAACTCCGGCACCATCGGGACCCGCCAATTCGCGACGGCGGAAATCTTCTTGGAAGATTTCCCGCTTCACATCTTCGAGTGAGAGACGGGGCAGATCTCGATTAAGGTTGATGATGAGCGAGGACCATGAGTCCGGAAGTAAGGCTAGCAGCTTGGTCTTCTTTTGAAGGTCACTGTAGTTCAGGTCAGCTCCTTCGAGCCGTGTCAACAAGTCGAAGAATTTCTGCACTCCTTCCTCCACCGGTTCGCCTTCGTCAATTCGAAGTGCCGCCATTTGCCGCTCCAAAACCACAGCCACCGCCGCTGTTGCAGGAGCGTGTACACCCTTGAGAGCAGCCCATGCCTTTGGTCCCTTTGCTGGTTCACGCTGAAAAGGCTTGATGTGACGGATTTGGCTGCTCCCCAACGCTTGCCCAAGTAGAAGGTAGCCTTGTGCGCTCTTCCGCACCCACGGGCTCTTCTCCGGGTCGTTCTCGGGGCGCTTCTCCGTTCCTTCCATCACCTCCAGCAGATCATAGTGGTCAAAGATGTTCTCCATCTTGAAGGACCACTCAGCAAAGTTGTCACCGTTGAACTTGTCAAGGCCAAACACTCTAGGCTCATCCCTAGAGGGTCCAAGGCTAGGTTGCACCGGAGCAACGGGTGGATCTTGGTGTTGACCTTGTGCTTGGGCGTCTTCTCTACCTCCAGCACCTCTACCAACCCCTTCCTCAGGTCTAGGCATGGTCGAGACGGCTCCAAGGGGCTCTGATACCACTTGTTATAATCACAATAGGCTTAGATGTGCCTATAATGAGAGATAGAGAGCACAGTCGGATTTCCGTCAGACGGCTTCAAATACTGATAACGATCTGGTCACTGAATTAAATGGTGATCTGTAAATTGGATCTGGAGCGCGTTGGTGTCCTCTATTAGCAGCAAGTTGAATCATGAAATTCCATGAAGATTTGACGACGCTATGGCGGTTTGACTGGCAGAAGGTAAAGCAGCCACTATAGTCCTAGGAGTACAAACTTAGCAAGAAGAGTTCGAGAGTGAGACGGTTCCCAGCCTCTACATACCCCAAGAGCCGAGGTCCAGGTTGGTGGTACACCACCACAGAGTCCCCAACCATGAAGAGTCTCGAAACCAACCCTCCAAGGGGCTACACCAAGTGAAATGTAACACTACACGAAGTAACGTTACTATTTTCACTATTTAATATTTATCCGCGTCCCTTGGGCTTGAAATCTTGAGCTCTTGTTCTTGGATCTGCAAGATAAATTCTTCTTGAGTTGATGGGGGCTTGCTGCACACACCTGCGACGCGATGGACACTTCACACTCGACAAAATAGAAAAAACACATGCGACACACAAACAACGACTTGACATGCGAGTTGTAGAAACTCGCTAATGTCTTGACCGACACAAACCACATTGTGATACACCATTCAAACACACACACAAGCACTGGATAGCAATGACATAGACTCACAATTCATTCCATGCCATGCATGCACACACACAAACAAGGACGACAAGCCGAGTGCAAGCCATAGGGTTGCACCAACAAACTCCCCCTCGGATTGTTGGCCTTAGAATCTGCTCCCCTTAGTTCAGAGCCATCCCAGCAAGCTTGCAACACTCCCAATGCTGCTGCTCAACCAGCCTCTTGGTCATCATATCAGCTGGCTGCGCCGTCGTCTTCACGTAGTGCAACTCCACTTCACCCGCGGTTACCATGCTCCTCACCCAATGCCACTTCACCTTCATGTGCTTGGTAAGGCCATGAAGAACGGGGTTCTTTGCCAATGCAATAGCACCTTGGCTATCACAGTAGAGTGGGGTAGGTCCTTGCTGCTCCTCCCCCAATTCAGCTAGCAAACGCCGCTGCCACACAACCTCTCTTATGGCACGGAAGAGTGCCATGTACTCGGACTCCACTGAGCTCAATGCTTGGTCCACCTGCTTCTTGCTCTCCCAAGCTGTTGGCCCTCCACCAACACAGCAGATGAAGCCTCCCACACTTGTCATATCCTCTGGTTCTGATGCCCAAGATGCATCAGAGAAGGCGGTGAGAAAGAGCCTCCCGGGTTCGACTCCATCCGCCCCCTTTTGACGCCTTTGTGCCGCCGCGGAGTATTGCAGTCCAACAGTTGCTGTTTGGCCAAGGTACTTGGCCACACTCTCTCCAGCTGCTACCTGCTCTTCATTAGGGCATTGGACAACCCTAGCCAGCTGCCCGGTAGCAAAGGCTGCATCCGGCCTTGTGTGAACGGCCGCATACATGAGGTTGCCCACCAAGGAGTGAAAACGGCGCCTCTCCTCTTCACCAACACTTTCCTCCGCTGGTCCTTTCACACACTTGAACCCTGAGGGAAGAGGAGTAGCCACATGACCTTCACTCTTCCCAAAGTTTGCAGCCAAGGCCTCCAAGTACTTCTTTTGATGCACTCGCAATCATGTGGTCGGTTTCTGTGGTGTGAGTGGGTGGCGTCCGTAGCAGAGGAAGAACGGCGTCTGTCCAGTAGCGGCATGTGTGGCATTGTTGTAGGCAAACTCCAGGACGGGCAGATGCAAGTCCCACTTGGAGATGTCGTCCTTGCAGGCTGCGCGGAGGAGTTGCTCAACAATTTGGTTGAGGCGCTCAGTCTTTCCGTCTGTTTGCGGATGGTATGCGGATGACATGGCGAGTTTGGTTCCGAGAAGAGACATAAGTTCCTTCCAGAACCTGCTGGTGAACTTGGGGTCTCGGTTGGAAATGAGTGTGGTTGGAATGCCATGCTGTGAGATGATGTGACGAACGAAGAGTTGTGCTGTCTCTTCGGTGCGTGCCGTCGTGTGTGTCGGGATGAAGTGTCCCATTTTGGAGAACTTGTCGATGATGACAAGGATTGCTTCATGACTGCTGGTGGTAGGTGGTAACCCGGTGATGAAGTCCAGGCTAACCACTTGCCATGGCTGTTCTGGGACAGGAAGAGGCTGCAGTAGTCCCGCCTTTTTCTGCTTGCTGCTCTTCATCCGCTGACATGTATCACACGAGGTGACGAATTTCTGTACGTCATCTGCCATGTGGGGCCAGTAGTAGTGTTTGGCGATACCGGTGAGCGTCTTGTTGCTACCGAAGTGTCCGGCATATAGGACGTCGTGGTATTCTTCGAATAGTAACTGGCGCAAAGGAGGGTAATTGGGTACCCAAATTTTCGTTGATCCTTTCCGGTATGCGATGTCACTGTCCCACTGTAGCAAATGTCGCTTTTCCGCCAAGGAGATTTCGGGGTCGATGGCGTACCCGTGTGTGAAGAGTCCCTTGAGTAGTGGATTCATCCCTTCAATCTGAATGGCGACAACGTGTGCAGGTCGGCTAAGAGCGTCTGCTTTGTTTTTGTGGCCGGGCTTGTACACGATGTCGTAGTGGAAGTGTGTCTCGAGGAAGTCGATCCACCGGACCTGCCGCCTGGAAAGGTTGGGTTGTGTCTTCAAGTATTTCAGGCTGCAGTGGTCAGTGTAGACGGTTGTTCTTCGCCCTTCGAGGTAACATCTCCACGCTTTGAAGGCGTTGACGATGGCAAGGGCCTCTTTGTCGTGTATCGGGTAGTTTAGTTCTGCTCCATGTAGTTTCTTGCTGAGGTAGGCGATTGGTTGCAGTCCATTCCCCTGGTCTTGCATCAAGAGTGCTCCCACTGCCTGGTCGCTGGCGTCAGCTTCGATTACGTAGTCGCGTTCGGGATCTGGCAAGATGAGTACCGGTGCGGACATGAGTGCTTGTTTCAGCTGCTCCACGGCTTCCTGGTGCTTTGGTTCCCATTTATAGGGCGTGTTCTTCTTCAGCAGATTCGTGAGGGGTGCTGCAAGTTTCGCATACTGTGGCACGAACCTGTTGTAATAATTAGCGAAGCATAGGAACTGCTGCAACTCCTTCATGTTCTCGGGTGTCTTCCACGTACGTACGGCTTCGATTTTCTTGGGGTCGACGTGAACTCCTTGAGCGCTCACCAGGTGTCCTAGGGACTGGACCTTCTCAAGGGCGAATTCGCTCTTGGACAGTTTGACGTAGAACCATTCTCGTCGAAGAATTTCGAAGACGCGTCGTAGGTGCTCGACGTGCTGCTTCATGTCGCGCGAGTAGATGAGGATGTCGTCTACGCACACCACCACGCACTCGTCCAAAAGTGGTCGTAGAATGTGGTTCATTTCGGATTGAAACGTTGCCGGTGCGTTGGTGAGTCCGAACGGCATTACCAAATACTCGTACGATCCGTACCGAGTTCAGAAAGCAGTTTTGTGGATAGAGTTGTCCGCCATCCGTATCTGCCAGTATCCGGACCGCAGATCCAGTTTGGAAAATACCGTAGCTCCCCGAAGCTGGTCAAGCAGGTCATCGATTCGTGGTATCGGATATTTATTCTTAATGGTCTGCTTGTTAAGAGCTCGGTAGTCGATGCACATGCGCAGGCTTCCGTCCGGTTTCGGTGTGAAGAGTACTGGGGCACCGTACGGCGAAGTGGATGGCCGGATGAGTCCTTTGGCTAGGAGATACTCGATCTGTTTTTTTATGTCGGTCAGCTCCGTAGGGCTGAGCCGGTATGGTGCTCGGAAGGTCGGCTTCGATCCCGGTTCCTCCACGATCTCGTGTTGATGCGTTCGGTATGGCGGTAGCTCGTTCGGAAGATCGTCAGGAAGAATGTCTTGGAACTCCTTCAGTAAGTCCTTGATTTTATCTGGAGGTTCCGAGGCTTTCTCTCCGTCGTTCTCCACTGCTGTTGCTATCGCCAAGAACCCGGTGTCGGTTCGCTTCACGTCCTTCTCGAATCTGGCGAGTGTCTCCACTGGGATATCTCCTGTATCGTCCCAGTTGGGTAGCTGTACTCTCCGTCCATTGTTGTAGATGCTTGAGGTGCGGTTCACCTAGTTGATCTCGAGGTTGAATCTTTTCAGGAAGTCTCGCCCGAAGATCAGGTCAAGCCCTTATATGTTGGTGATGGGGAGAGCAGGTCTCCAGCGCAGTGGCCCGATTTGTAGGTGTAGCACTGCTTCGCCGTATACTGGTAACTTGCTGCTGTCCACCATCGTTGCAGAGAATCCTGATGGCTTGTACTCTTCCCGAAGTAGGTCGATTACTGTTTTTTTGCAAACGGTGTATGATGCTCCGCTGTCCACGAGTGCTTGGAGGCGTCGTCCTTTGCAGATGACCTCGAGCACGTGGAGCAGGCGTTGCTCGGAGTACCCAAAGATAGTCTCATTGATTGGGTCATACGGTACATCCCAATATTCCGTACACACCTTTGTGTTGCTATCTACTCCTGAGCTGGCAGCTGGCCGAGGCTGCTTGGAGAACGGCTCTTCTCCAGGGCCCGGAGTTTCCCTGACGACTGTGCGAGTCACTGATGCCGAAGAACTGGATGCATCCGGAGGAGGTTTTTGGGGTTTGTGCAGCTTCTTATAAACCCCCAGCTTCCTCTTGAGCTGCTTCAGCTCCACCGACGTCTTCCCTGGGGAACGGGTAGTCGTTGTGGGCTGGTGTCGGGAGAGGACGTTGACTCCGTGGAAAGGTCGGCTTCTTTCCACACTCCTTAATTTGGTCCCCAAGTTGTCCGGTACCGGTATAATCTCCACAGTTGTCTGCTTCTTTTGGAGTCCCTCCCGAAATTTCTCCAAGGCTCTAGCTCCTCGAAAATCATAAGTTTTCATTAAAGCATGTTTGTAAGATAACTTTAACGAATCCTTATAATTTCTTGGGTCTTCAAGGAGTTTCCCTGTCTCGGCAGAGTCTTTTTTCGCGGAGTCGTATTTTTCTTCGGCGATTTTCCCTGGCGAAGACTGGTCGTGGGGTGGAGATTTTCCCCCATCATTTCCTCCTTCTCGCGTTGAATCAGCTTCGTCGAAGTTGATTTTCCAGGAATCCCGTGGCCGCTTCTGGATCTTTTTATTTTCGCCAGCTAGATCCGCAATCACTGGCGAGTCCCGTTTTTTGGCTTCTGATTGGCCGAAGGAATTCCGCCACTGTTGCGTGCCCGATACTCTGCGCGTGCGGTTTTCATTTTGTTGCAGTCGAAGATTCGATGACCCGGCACCCCGCAAAAATCACACGTATAGTTGGTGTTTTTCGGACGTGGCCGCCCTTCGAATCTGTCGACTTCCATCGGGTCGGCGAACGTGGAGTGAGCCGAGCGGTCGCCCTGTCGCGTACTGCCGACGTGCGTCCGTCGTGTTCCGGCGTTGACCATGTCGAAGCGCTGCGCAGCCGATACGACGTCACTGTAGCTCGCGTAGTTTGACGCTGCCACCTGTCGTTTGACTTCGGTCTTCAGCCCGGCGAGGTACGACTGCACTTTTTCCCCTTCGGTCAGGTCGGGAATGCGGTTATAAAACTCCTCCATCTGCTGCGTGTACTGCGCTACACTCCCGAACTGTCGGTGTCGATGAATTTTTTCCCGGGCAAGGAAACTGGAATTTATCGGCTCGAATCGTTTCAGCAGGTCGGCGCGGAACTGCTGCCACGTGGCTTCACCATGGATGAAGGTACTGTTGCCGCCAATCCACTCGAGTGCCGGCCCTCGCATCAGTGTCGCCGCGAGTCGTACGCGTTGACCGTCCCAGACTGGCAAGCTCCATCCGACGGCTGCGAAGTAGATCTCCATCCCGGCGATCCATCTGCGGACGTCGGAGTTTCGATCGCTCGGATCAAACGGCTCAGGTGGGCGCGGTTTAGGAGCCTCGAGAAACTGTTGCAACTGCTGCGTCGTCGCCGTTGTCGTTTCGTGTTGCGCTCCGGCGAGTCGAGTTACTCGCTCGAACTCGTTTCGCCACGCTTCGCGGTCCGCTCGCATCTCCTCCTGAAGGGCTGCGATGCGTGCGAAGAGCTGCTGGGTAACGTCGGCGTTGTTGAGGTTCGCCATGCTGTTCAAAAACACGCGCAGAGGGGGTAATTCGAAAAAACGCGGAGCTGGTGCTTACCGGAATCGGCGTCCAATTGGTCGCCCCCGGCGGTTTTTCGAGGCAGGATCCCTGCTGCTGCTGCTTAGCTGAGCGCGGTCGAGTGAGAAAAGCTCTCATTACCAAGTGTTACAGGATCAAATGTGTCGAGGAAAGGTTGCACTATCGATCAGTACAAGGCGCTTTTATACTTCCAAAGTACATCAGGTAACCAGGTTTATCTTATCCTAAGGGAATAGACCCTTCTAGAAGATAGAATCACCCTGCGTATAGCCACGCGAGGCTATTGGCTTTAAGGGATTACGGCAGG